GATCAACCCATCACCCTCCTGTCCTGGGTGTCCAGGTCCTCGTCCAAACTGGGACTCCAAGCCCCCGTCCCTGAGTCCCGGACTCAGTGCAATGCAAGGACCTCCTAACCCAAAAACCACCCTGACAGTCGGTCCGAAAAGAGCCGAATCCATGGCAAGAGAGCAACAAGTCTTCCAAGCGCTCATACCCAAGTATGTGCTCGGGATAATAAGTCTGTGACTTGCCTAGAGTCTTATGCAACGACCGGTCCTTAACCGACACGAACAGGGAAAGCAGTGTAACCAAGCTATGCCCGCATCCGCGGCAACACAACCTCTTACACCCACCAATACCCAAACCATATCCCTGCCTGGTCACCATTTTTCCTTTCCACCATTTATATTTTCTAAGTGATAATAATACAGTAATATATTTCCTATCTCTCGCGAGTGACAGGCAATCACTCGACTTCTACCGGAGTCCTGTAGCATAGCATTCTACATGATCCTGTAATACTAGTAAGACTCATAGGATGAAGATATATATATGCAAGTGGATTTCATTCAACTCCTGAAAACTTAATGCATAAATATAATTTAAAGTACAGAAAAGTAGGGGTTATGCACCGGGCTTGCCTGGATAAGATATATATTAAAAAGTTAGTATCTGCATCTTCAGATCATCCACCATCAACTGAATAGAAAGCCCATTGCATCATCTCTTGGAGAGAATATCATTACACCATCTTTGGATTCACAATCATCCTTCGATTGATTCGTTGATCCATCATCGTACATATATGATATGCATTGATGCAAATGCATAGATGTAAATAATCAACGACAGCCGGAATGCTTAGAAGCCCGATCATGCCTCACCAGCTAACGAGCTAGTTCTAATGACGACCGTACTTAGGCTACATATCCATGTTGTCGAATAAGACGTTATTTTCCAACAATCGTTTTAGTTATACAATCCCAAGTTATTTTTTTATTTTATTCTATCGATTTAATCCTTGTTTGAAATAGAGCATCATTAGCTACCTAACAACTGATTATTCTGGAGCCACAAAAATTACAATGAGTACCTAATATTGCTAAGAGCCTACTGTAACAATTTCAGATTCAACACAATTACCAATTTATCACAATAATTCCTTCAAGTTTATATTTTTATAATATTAAGTACTTTAAATTAATTATATAGCTTCCAAGACTATTATCAAACTATGTGGACAAAATACACTATTGGATGGAGCATGATTTTAAGAACTCAACAAAACTGGTTTCATAATTTTTGGACAACTATACAAATTTATATTGATTGTACAAGTTTATTTCCGAAACTAAATTAACAATTGCTTAGAAAACTTAAAGGGCCAGCGGCCACCTATTCGGCCCAGCGGAAAACTACGCACACGTGGCCCAGGCGCGGTGGCACAGGCCGGCCCAAGCGCGCGGGCGTGAACAACCCAGCAACGCGGAAGCATGCCGGCCCAGGCGGCAAAGCAGCCCGACACGGCGCGACGGTAGCCCAGCAGTGTGGCGCGGCCCACAGGGGCGCGCGCGGCCTACCGACCAGGCGGCCCAGTGGGAGCAGGTCGGCCCACGACGGAAAACCTAGCGGCGGTGGCCCATTTTGCAAAAACGCCCCTATCTTTTGAAACTAACTCGCAGTCAAACATATACTATTTGTATGAGTCACGTATTTCGCAGTAAGGACCCTGTATAAAATTTCTGCTCGGATTTATACCCTTTTCTTCATCCTCAAAAGCAGAGGGCAGACGGGGAGCACCGGCCGGCGACGGGAATGACATGACGAGCCGAGGAAGGCACGACGGCGGGGATGGCCACACGGTGGTGCGGCACGCTCGCGCGCGGTGCTTGGTGCTCGACGGAGGCAAGGCGGAGCTGCGCGTGGCTATGGCGCTGGGCAATGAAGGCGGAGTTACGACGGGAGCGGAAGGCGCAACGATGGTGGCCCAGTGACGGCGTTCTCGGGGCACACGGCGGAACGGCACTTGGGGCAACGGCGGCTCCGGAGGGGCAGCGCCATGGAGTAGCGGGCCGCGGGCGGACGAGAGCGCTTCGGACAGAAGGCGGCATGGTGCTGGCCGAGAGCGGGGAAGGAAGAGGAGGGGCAGCGCTCGTGCGCTAGCGCGGGGCAGGGCCGGCACTGGGCGGACGTGGCGGGGTGCGGCGACTCTGGCGTGGGACCAAGGGAGTCCGTGCGCGCGCTCGCGATGGACCAGCGACGGATGGCGGTCTCGGCCCTAGGTGGGTGCTCGCGCGAGACAGGGAGTAGGGAGCACCGAGAGGGGGAGCCCGAGAGAGAGGTGAGCAAGGCGAGCAGCGGTTTAGCGTCCTCAAGAAGCCGAGGGTAGGAGGCATCAGTACACCCGCCAGAGTATGGACGTGGGGACAGGGAAGGACGACGCAGCGTGGCCGTCAGCTGCGCGCACAGAACGTGAAATGACGTGGCGAGGGCAGGGGGAAAAGAAACGCGAGGCTCGGTCTCCACTTGAACTCGAACGCAGGGCAGACAGCAGAGGGGCAAGGATGAGACCGCGACAGCAGCGACAAGCAAGGCAGAGAGCGGAGAGCACGCCAAGAGGCATAGGGGGAAGCGACAAAACTGACAGTGAGACAGAGAAAGACAAGAGGCATTGAAAAGCAGGCGCGCAAGAGAGAGCGGGGAAAAGAAAAAGGACCTTCTGCTGCTTGAATGCTCGGTGCGACTAGCGCTCACATAAAAATATCGGACCGTCGCAAGCAAGGGAGAGAAGGACAGGGGCGCAGGCAAATGAACACGCCGTGGTGCAGAGCAATGCAGAGCCACGACGAGAGACGTGATGGTAATAAATGCCATGCAACGAGTACGTTGTACGCTAGGAAAAATAAACGAAGTTGTTGCGCTCTCTCTCGTCAGTTCGTGCTTATCAAAATAAACCCGTGAGTGTGTATATATATATATATATATATATATATATATATATATATCGTTCTATTTATTAATAGATTTTATTCTATTTATAAAAGTTGCTTTTCATGCTTATTCTAACAGAACAAACCGTTCGCTAGAATCGTCGTTCGACATTCCTAAATATCTTTACGCACTGAGTAATTTAACTTGGGCGTTTATTCGAGTCCACAAAACTGGGTCACCGGATTCACTTATCACATCAAGTATATTTTAAATCAAAAATTTCGAGAAACTCGTTTCGAAAATTTGACTTAGGCCTAAATCACGGTGCTAAACGAGCTCGTAACACCAGGGGTGTTACAATCGGCCACCTCCTGAGGGATGCACGTCCAATGTCATTCTATGGTGTGTCGTCCCTTGCAGCCCTGCTGACCCGCTACCCCTGCTGGGTGTGCCACGCAGCCTGCGCACATCCTCCCTTGCTGGCTACGCCACCTGAGGACTACAAGAGGAGGCGGTGGCTACATGGATGAGTCATGTAGGGGTGAGACCAATAGTAGCCAAGTTCCCGGAACGTTGGGATCGTGGTACGGGAACGCGGTACATTGTTTCTTAAGTCTATAGGACGAAGAGGGTATACAGCTTGATCTCGTTCCTTCGATTAATGGAACGTGTTCCCGGAACGTTGAACAAGATCCTAATTAAATTGATTGATATCATGAACGAATTAACTAGCACAAGTTTTCACTAAACGTAAGACATAGAAAGCTCTAAAATAATAAAGATAAAATAGATAACTGAACTCCTCATGTGGCTCCTCTTTTTTTCTTCCATCAATTGAATTTTGGGCCTCAAGTTCCATCGACGTTTCCATGGTGTTCCATCATGTATAACTTAGTTTTAGATTTATAAATACTTTTTAACAAACATACACCCAAATAAATATATAACTAAGTTATACATAATCCAATGAGTATGAAATTTTTACTACAGTTCAAGCATATAATAATTAGTCCACCATAAAATTTTCACCACAATTGAACCATGAAAACTGCAGATATGAATTAATTATAGAAAAACATATATCTAAAGCTACAGCAAAAAAATTGTACCAAAGCATACCATATTATATGTTCACTGTGTAAATCTACTCATATAGAGTCCAACAAAATTGAATTTTCTATTTTATGATTTTTCTGTGATTTACTATGATTTTTTAAAGATTTAGCCGAAATAAATAAAAAAGAAAAAGATAAAACCGCCTTTGAAAACCGCTTATAACCGGTCAGGGAGATAAAACGAACGGTTTTAAAAGTTCTGGAGGTGGTTTACCCAGTTTTAAAGTTCGAATAGAAAAAACGGACTTTCGCAAAAGTCAGGGGAGTAATGTAGACTTTTTTCCAATACAAAACCTGCACCACACGTGATAAGGTTTGGGCCCTCGAACTCGGAATTGTCCCAGGACCCAAAATTCATGGGCCCTGATCTAAAACCGTCCCACTGCCATCCCTAGACACAACTACCACTGGGCCAGCTCGTGTCGTGCTAATGCCATGCTTAAAAGGTTAAAAAAAAATGCCATGCTTAAATGGGCTACGCCTCCTACCATACTTTAGGGTGTACTCGGCTGTCCCGCGAACTGTCGTGGGCCGCATTGCCACCACTATAATCTATATATATATATATATATATATATATATATAATCAACTGGCACAAAGAACTTTGAAAGCGTAAAGGCCCCGTTCGGCTTGCTGAAACTTGACTGAAACTGGCTGGAAAACACTGTTCTGGCTAAATTGTTGTGAGAGAAAAACACGGTTCCGGCTGAAAAAAGAAGCCAAACAAGCCGACTTTAAGGTAAGCCGAACCGGGCGCATATCCTTATTGCAATTTGATTCGAAACATGCACGGATTTACAGAAGCAGGAAAAATAAAATCATATGGCCCTTAGATGGCAGTAACTAGAGAACCAGGAATATGAACAAGGCCGATCCAGCCATACCTAAGCTTGTGCAATCCCTCCATTTCACATCACACACGTGTAGCCTGCCCCAGCAACATAAAACAAAGGCTTCGCTGCAGCTGTGCAATTTGCATCTAGAGTGCCTGATCCTCCTCGTTGCCCTCCATTTCTTGATCATGGATGACTATATGCAACATCGCGCCAGGAGCACCAACTGGTTCTTCAATGGCCGCCTCTCCTGGGCCCTCGTCATTGCCCTCCTCCATTCCTTGATGATCAATGGGTATCTGCACCAGTGCAGCAGGAGCAACCACCGCTTCTTCCATCATCAATCCCTCAAGGCCTTCCTCGGGTATGCCATGCTGTCTCAGTATCCCTCGCAAGAGTGATGAATTGTCAACTTCCATTCTATGATCAGGGGTGTGCCGCTGATTAAAGCGTCCTGGGAGCTTTGAACTGGAGTTGTAGCAGGCTTCGCAAAGGTCAAACCCAATTAACTCAGTGCAGTCCTGGCATTTGTATCTCTTACCACGTATCGGATATACCTGCATGGTGTTCACCGGTTTCATCTTAGCAAACTGAAAATAATTTAATACATGATGTGAAAATGTTTTATCATTGTTGTCCATGTCTGACTTGATATTAAGGTTACTGTAAGGATTGGAAATAGAGTTCATCACGGAACAAGCACTAGGATAAAAACTACCATCAGTAAAAGCTAAAAACTGTATTCTGCCAAAGAAAAAGGTTACAAGCTATAAGACAATTAGCAAAAACTTAATGTGTTAAGATTTGGGTCCTCTAAGAAGCCTACGGAATTAAAGGCAGATGTCTTTTGCATCCAAGAAAAAGGAATAATTAGTGAACTTCTAAAAAAGCAAAGAACAAAGACTAGTAGTCTCTGCAGTAAAACAACACGTGTTTTGAAGCTACTTGGATAAATAGCTGTAACCTTTTAGGATTTAGGTACTAAAATTGAAGGATAACTACAGTATACCACATGATGGTATAGACATTCAGCACGTTACTGATTATGACTGTTCTTATATAAGTTATTAGTAGCTTTGAATGATGTATGTTGGTCTCAAAGAACTGGAGGATTTGAATCAACCCTTTCCACAGAAATAAATGATCAACTCAAGGTCTTCCAACTGGCGAGTAACATCAATACAGCTAGCATGAATGCCACTTGCAGAAAAAGAAAGATGAAACTGTATTTCTATAGACCAATTCAAGGTGAATGATTGTGAAGTCAAAGAAATCATTCTATCTAATCTAACAGTAAAATTTTGCTTTGTGTGCATGCTTTACGAGTATTGATAAGCTCAAAACTGATAAAACGTTTATAACTTGTACATACCCCACATGAGTCGCATCCTACTGAAATGTGAATATTTAACAGGTCCTCATCATGCAGTGCCCTAGTGCTTCCTTTTCTGCCTGAAGTATCCAAACAGCACAAAAAACACTTTAGTTAGCTACCAAAAAAAGGAGAGGGGTACCTAATATGTGCTCCATGCCTTAGTTTTAAGGCCTAATTAAGATCTCAAATTGCATGATGTAATGAACCACAAACATATCTACACCAAGACGGAAAAAAAAAGTTGAACAGCTAACCTTGTATGCATTTATCTAAACTATTTAAAAATGATTCAAAAACCCAATCCCGTAAAAGGGTTATCCTAGACAATGACTACAGCAGTAGTAATCAGAACAGGTGGTTCGGCATCCTCCTGTGGTGGTGGAACCTGCAACTGCCCAGTTTCAACTGTGGCTGTGGCCCGTTAATAACTAGTGACTTGTGTTGGTAAATTAGTATTTCTACAACCTCTTGCAGTAGCTCTACACAATTTTAAATATTAGAAGACTTCAACCAATATATACCATAGCAAATTAGCAATAACATTACATCCCTCTTGATCCACAAACTAACATCATCTGATCTGATATGCTAGTACTCGTCCCTAAATGGAAAGGTCTAATGACTAAAACAGTATTACAGTTAGTAAAGTAATTCATTAAAAATGCATATTTTATAGAAGAGCGAAATTACACAAAAAAACATATCAAAGATACTCTATACAATTTCCATGTTAGGTATTTATATCACACTATTGCTAGAAGCCAACAAAAACTAGAGCAATAAACTATTTTTTTGGAGCACTAAGTGAAATTACACCATAACTACAACCACATGCATTGTTCAGTGATTCCCCAAGATTACAATTAGTTCCTACACAAACTACAATCTGAAGTTTATTTTTTGTCTTTATTTGGAGATGTGAAGCCTTTTTGGACAATCTTGTGACAATTATGACTGTTGAGGCCTAAGCATGACTGTTGCCATTGGGTCTGGTGCTCACCACTGCCAACCCTGAGCAGCTTCCGGGTACCTTGAAGAGCACACAATAGAATTTTAGTGTTATTGTAAGGACTGGAAATAGAGTTTTTTTTCCCTCAAACACGCAGGAGAGTTGCGTATCTTTTATATTAAGAAGGAAAAAAGGGGAAAGAGAAAACCCCAAAACAACCAAGATAACACCTCAACACACCCCGACACACATGGCCACAACAAGCCCACACAAACTAACAAACAAATACTCCAAACACACACAGAGACAACAAACCCACAAACACACACAAACAAGGGATGAACGACCAACGAGCCAAGCAATTAGGCAACACCAAGTATCCGTTCAGTCAACAAGGCTATGCCCTTCGCACCCACTGGAAATAGAGTTTTCATAGAAAACATTCATAATAGTCAAATTTGCCCAGGCTCTACAATTTTACTGAGTCCACACTGCTGTTGGCGCCCATCTTAAGTAAAAAAGGGCGTACCCAGTGTAGAGAGCTCCCGCTCTGTGTGGGGTCTGGGGAAGGGTGTCAGTGGCAAGCCTTACCCTCGCCTGTGCAATGCGAGGAGACCGCGACTCGAACCCGGGACCTTCCGGTCACAGGCGGTAAGACTCTACCGCAGACACTACAGTCACCATCCATTAGCATGGGTAATCAAGGGCAAACAACTTAATATGAAATGTATATGGCTAATCAACGGCACGAGATTGGCTTGGACTAGCAAGGGCATCTTTAACACTGTCGGGTGAAGTTTTTATACAAGGTATCACTCAATCTCATGCATGGTTTGGATTCCTTATTCTCTCCATATAAGTTACTGTTACTGGAGGTATCCCATCAGCTAGCAAGTGCCATCAAAGATGACCTTTTTTCCTTCTAACAAGGGATCTTACCCTGTTATATAGGAGAAAATGCGCGAAGTGAAATAGAACTTGGTAACAAAAGCTTACCTGAAGATGATGCTTCACGATTGCACTGATCCTTCTTAAACTGAACTTTCTGCCCTCTCGATTCATATTCTGCTGGAAAATATTCTTCCAGGAAATGATCAAGGTCCAGGCAAACATTAGGGAAATCCCCAGGGTGAAGACTTCCACAAACATGGCATTTCAGTGTTTCCTCATTCAAGGACGACAAACAGGATACACAATACACTATCACAAAACCAACATAAGTTAATATCTCCAAAACAAGTTAAGTAGTAGTTCTGAAACTAGAATTTACCATGACCACAATTAAGAACGGCAGGTTGATACAGCATCTCCATACAGAGAGGGCATGAAACATCCTCCAACTTAATTTTCTTCGAATGCTCATCCGAAATGCTGCCATTCAACGAAACTTCTTGTGGAGGTCTAGCTTTACTGTCTTCATTTCTGTTCTCCCCATCGCTTCCAACTTACAAAAAATAAAAGAAAGTGGGTATATCGTATTTAAGACTTATGAGATGTAATGGAGATGGAGATACTATTTGAGATTTGTGAGATACTATGGAAGTGGAGATAACTACAACCGTAATTACATGGCAAAATTCTTACCATTATTCTTGAAGTTCAAAAACTCAATGATTTGGGGAGAGTATGTTTCTATGCGCTTCTCTTCCTCTGAAATGTAAGCCGAAAGTGAACATAGAGTTAATTCCTAAAAATGAAAGTGCACACATTACTACTCCCACCGTTCAACAATATAGGTCGTTTTGTCTTTTTTTAGATACATAGTTTTTAGTGTGCATACATAATGTATATCTAGGCGCATAGCATAAATTGTGTATCTAAAAAAGCCAAAGCAACCTATAATTTGGGGACGGAGGGAGTAACTAGTAAAATGGGGGGGGGTGGTGCTGGATAAGGATAAAGCAACAAGACTTCAAACCAATCGCTGTAAAGCAATGAGACAACCTAAGCCAACATGAACACCATACATGCAAAAAGTTAATATTGCTCTTGAAATGCTCCTACCCAGCATAACTATCTTTGTTTTGACCTATATCAAAAAATAAATGCAATGCTTGCATATTGGTTTTAGGGTGTAGAATACTCACCTAGCACTCTTTTTCCCTTCTTTTGTAATCAGTAGTTTCAAGCTTTAGAAGCAAATGATGCAAGAGCTGACAGATACTCGGAAAGTGTATATAGGGCTGCCTACACACAGCGCAATGGGATTCTCGGAAAATATGCATAGCTTTGTGGACACACCAGAAACATGACATATGACCACATGCTGCACCAGTAGATGATAAATGAGTTTTGAAGAGTATGACAGAGTCAAGCTGTTTTCTGTAAACATGAAAAACAAACTCTTACATAAAACAACTGGTTTGAACAGAAGATCCCTGCAAAACAGATTGGTTAAACAGATGAGATCATTGGTACATTTGTGCAGAATTATAGCCCATGCAGAATGCAAATCAAATATCCCAAACAAACAAAAAAAAGGGTACAAGATTGTGTTTTTATGCATACACAGAATTCAGTGTTACCATGTTGTTTACAGATACAAAAACAGCAATGTGGAGGCTCGGCGCCGATGTGGTGCCCAACAGGCACTAGCACCACATGAACTCAACTCATAGCAAGCTGAGTAATCACTCATCAGATATTCTATTTAAGTTTGCATAGGCCACTATTTGATTAGTTCCATTTGTGATATTATTGGTTGATGAAAAATTATGTTGTTCCACAAGACACAGGACTCAGTGAGGTTGCTGAATCGCTTCACCTCCTATTCATGCTCAGCCATCATTTTGAAAACGCTTTGCCACATTCTGTTCAATAGTGTTCTGCAAGCATGCTAACTGAATTATGTTGTTCCTATGCATTCAGTTTGCCACTTGCCCACTCCCTCGGCTGTTTTTCAAGCAGTCTCACACCCAAAATTTTCTTCATAGGTTGTTCCCTCCCGGCCACACCACCAAAATGCCTGTGAGCACCTCAGGCAAGTTATTGCTCCAACACCCTCCTTACTAATTGCTGGCATCTCCCATGCCAGATCCAACAACCACCCTTCCCTGACCCAGCCTGCTGCTGGTCCTCCACCCCACAGTCGGCAGCACCCCACAACCTTGCCACTCCATGCACCAACCGCTACCACAATCGGACTAGCCTACCACCACTGGCTCTTTCTAGGCCCACCAGACTTCAGTGAAGCCCCAACTTGAACCATAACCGTGCTGGAGAGTGCGAATTGTGACACTGATCTGCTGGCTATAAATTCAGGTGCCAGCATCCCCCAAAGTGCCAGGGCGTACTACGTACTAGAGCAGCTAGGTTCTGTTAACGATATTCCTAGGTACATAATTTTGCAATACATATAAATTGAGAAAGGACAAACAAGCATGCTTGGATTGCAAGGTGATACCAGGGGAGTGTGTTGTTTCTCAACATAAGCTTTTGGTGGCAGACTTTCGTTTCCAGGTGCGTGCCCGTAGGGATAGACAAGCTAAGATTGAAAAAACAAAGTGGTGGAAACTGAAAGGGGAGACGTCAGAGGTATTCAGGGAAAGGGTTATCAAAGAGGGCTCTTGGAAGGAAGAAGAGGACATAAACAACATGTGGGAGAAGATGGCAACCAACATTCGGAAGGTGGCCTCAGAGGTGTGTGGAGTAACCAAAGGAAGTGGAGGCGAGGCTAAAGATACTTGGTGGTGGAACGAGGAAGTCCAAAGGGCTATTAAGGAGAAGAAAGAATGCTATAGACGCTTGTACCATGACAGGAGCGTGGACAACATAGAGAAGTACAAGGTGGCAAAGAAGACTGCAAAGCGAGCTGTAAGTGTGGTAAAGGGTAGAGCGTACGAGGATCTTTACCAACATTTGGGTACGAAGGAAGGAGAAAAGGACATTTATAGGATGGTTCGTGAGAGAAAGACAAGGGACTTCAACCAAGTTAAGTGCATTAAGGATGAAATGGAGCATCTCTTGATGAAGGAGGATGAGATCCGACATCGATGGCAAGAGCATTTTGATAAATTGTTTAATGGTGAGAATACGGACACAACCTTTCAGTTGGATGACTCTTTTGATGACACCAATAAGCGCTTTGTGCGGAGAATCCAAGACTCTGAGATCAGAGAGACGTTGAAAAGGATGAAAGGAGGTAAAGCGATGGGACCGGATGGTATCTCAATCGAGGTGTGGAGATGCCTCGGGGACATAGCTATAGTATGGCTAACCAAACTGTTCAACCATATTTTTCGATCGAACAAGATGCCTGACGAGTGGAGGAGAAGTATATTGGTACCGATCTACAAGAATAAAGGGGATATCCAAAGTTGTACTAATTACCGGGGAATTAAGTTAATGAGCCATACTATGAAGCTATGGGAGAGAGTTATCGAGCATCGCTTGAGAGCAATAACGCGGGTCTCTATGAACCAATTTGGTTTCATGCCCGGAAGGTCAACAATGGAAGCAATTTTCTTAATAAGACAAGTTATGAAGCGGTATAGGGAGAAGAAGAAGGACCTACACATGGTTTTTATCGACTTGAAGAAGGCTTATGATAAAATACCAAGAAATGTTACGTGGTGGGCTTTGGACAAACATAAAGTCCCAATGAAGTACGTCGGGCTCATTAAGGACATGTACAATGTTGTGACTAGTGTTCGAACAAGTGATGGAGACACGGATGACTTCCCGATTAGGTTAGGACTACATCAAGGGTCAGCTTTAAGCTCTTATCTGTTTGCCTTAGTGATGGATGAGGTCACAAGAGACATACAAGGGGACATCCCTTAGTGTATGCTTTTCGCGGACGATGTAGTGCTAGTTGATGAAAGTCGGACAGGAGTGAATCAGAAACTGGAGTTATGGCGGGTGACTTTGAAGTCCAAAGGTTTTAGACTCAGTAGAACTAAAACTGAGTATATGAGATGTGACTTTGGCACTACTACTCGGGAGGAGGAAGATATTAGTTTGGAATGTCAAGTAGTGCCTAGGAAGGATACCTTTCGATATTTATGATCAATGCTACAGAGAGACGGAGATATTGATGAAGATGTTAGCCATATAATCAAAACAGGGTGGATGAAGTGGCGCCAAGCATCTGGTGTCCTATGTGACAAAAGGGTACCACAGAAGCTAAAAGGCAAGTTTTATAGGACGGCGATTAGACCTGCTATGTTGTATAGTGCAGAATGTTGGCCTACGAAGAGACGACATGTTCAACAGATAAGTGTTGCGGAAATGCGTATGTTGCGTTGGATTTACGGTCATACAAGAAGGGATCGAGTTCGGAACGATAATATACGTAATAGATTAGGGGTAGCACCAATTGAAGAAAAGTTTGTCCAACATCGGTTGAGATGGTTTGGACATGTACAACGGAGACCTCCAGAGGCACCGATGCGTAGTGGAATCCTAAGCCAGGATAGTAACGTGAAGAGAGGCAGAGGAAGACCGAAGTTGACTTGGATAGAGGCAATAAAAGGAGACTTGAAAGGATGAAATATACCCAAAGACTTAGCCTTAGATAGGAGTGCTTGGAAAACAGTTATTCATGTGCCTGAACCTTGATTGCTTCTGCTGAGTTTCAACTCTAGCCTACCTCAACTTGTTTGGGACTTAAAGGCTTTGTTGTTGTTAAAGGCTTTGTTGTTGTTGTATATGAATTGAGCAAGGTGCATAAATGGACATTTGTTTTGCATAGATGTAAACACATGCAAATGAGTCATTCTACAGATTTTGCTGGCACCTTAGAATATGGGGAGGTAAATGTGCCCTGGGCCCTGGCACGATCAATCTCAAAATGATTTAACATAATAATGCAGCGTGCTCTGCCCCAACGAATAAGAATAACGCAATCTAGCATATCGCCGGTAAAGAAATTTAGGGGCAAGCTACGAGCACGAACAATTTGCCGACGTACGTAGGATCAAAGCCTCCCCCACAATCACAAAACGATCTACAGTATCCCGACGAGAGGTGAGGAATCAGAGAGGGGAAAGGGGACGCCGCATCGGCAACAAACTCACAGACAGACGCAGCACATGAACTGCGGGTCCGGGTCGTCCAGATCGTTGGCTCCAGGCCCGGCAGCCGTGGAGGCGACCTCCTCCTTCTTCCCCGGCTCCGGCGGGTGGCCGTCGGAGGCCATCCTGCCTCCCTCCTCGATTCGTCTGGCCACCCGAAGGAACGGGTGGAATCTGTTGCGCCTGCGAGCTGCGAGAGGAGGAAAAGGGCACGGAAAGCCGGAAGCGTCGGGGAGGGACGGGGGACTCGGCGACTCTCTGACTTGGGACGGAAGCAGCCCAGCCCACACCGCCTTGTGGAGAATAGCGAAGCTGCGGGCTGAAGAGGGCAGGTGTTTGATAGTGTATGGATCGGATCCAGTTCGGTCCTGTTTGGTGACCGCTGCTCAATTATCGTTTCGTCTATTATTTTCTTTTTTCTCTTCATCAAACTTCAAATTCAGACCTCTTATATTTACTCTTTCCATTCCAAATTATAAGATGTTTTGGTTTTCTAAATACATAATTTTTGCTATCTACCATGTCTAGATACAAAATAAAATTAATATATCTAAAAAAATAAAATATTTTATAATTTAGAACTTTGATTAGAAGTGGTTATCAATGGTTGTATATCCCTAAAAAATCAAAATGATTGTATTCTTTTAATTAAAAAATAGTAAATACCTAATAAGATTTTAATAAAATCATTAAAAGTGTTTTTAAACTTCTGAAAAAATTCAATAAAAAACCTAGAGATAGACAGGGGCTCGATAAATCTAAATAAAATTTATCTAAAAATGTTCAAAGTTAGATTTCGGTCTAGAAAGTGAGAAGAATATAAAAAAACTAGAAAAATGCACAAAACATGATAATCGATGTCTAAACATATTTTTAAAAAAATCTTCCACAACAAAAACATGAGATTAAACTAGCATTGATGCATTCAACATTAAATATATGCTTTCTTTCTGCTAGATGCATCTCATATTTTGTTGTGGAAAGTTTTCAAAACACATTTAGACATCAATTAGAATGTTATGGAATCTTCCAGTTTTTTCTAGATATATTTTCCATTCTCCAAGAATTAAATCTAATTTTGGAACCTTCCAGATTTAGAGATATTTTCATGAGCTCTAAAATATTTTATTTATATTTTTTACCCAATATTTTTAGAAGTTTAGAGATTCTTTTCGTGGTTTAAGAATCTTATCGGATATTTATTGGATCTTTTATAACTATAAAAATGATGAGATTGCATTAACAACCACTTCTAAACCAATAGGGAGGCAATTTAAATATTCGAGAGTTGAGAGGGTAAGATGTTTTTTGGAGTTCAAGGTAGGTTTTGGAGTTCAAAGATAGAAAAAACATACCATGGCAATAGTTTAGGGATGAAAGAGACCTCTTCCAAAAGGTAGAAACCAATTGTGGTGAGCCGAGAGTGCGATATATATAGTAGTATAGTAGAGCTAAGTATTTTTGAGACCATATCGCGCGAGAGAAATTCAAACAAGGATTTTTCAAGCCGAACTTCAATACCCAATAACATCTAATTGGCAAAGTTGGGCATCAATTCGAAATTTGGGCTAAGGTCTAAACGTCTACACCGCTCTTTTTTAGTTGAAAATAATTAAAATAAAAAAGTTTGGGCCAAGAAAAATTTTCATGGGTTTGCTTCTCTCGTGTGTCAATTGGTACGCCCAATTGGCATGTATGTGGCCCAAGCCTTGTCGGTATTTCGAGTAAACACCAACGAGTAAATTTGTATTATTGCACGTTCGGCCCGATGGTGTGCTAAAAGACACAAGATTTATCTTTGTTTAGGCGTAATGTCCTAAATCCGGTGTCTTAATTTCTTTGCTAGTGTTATTAGCACTAAAAGGTTCGTATTAGGGATTACAAACGGGCGAGAGAGGGACAGGTCCCAAGTCTCTAATGGAAAGGTTGAAAATACGCTAAGAGCTTGGTTGCTGCTCAGCTGTATGTTATGTGATGCGTGGTGTGTTCTATTGATCCATCCCTTTAGTGGGGTGCCCTGCTTCCCCTTTTATAAGCCAAGGGATAGTAGAGATTACAGATGGGAGAAAAGAGAAAAACCAAAGGCCAAGGAAGCCCTTCAAAGATGTCGGGTCTTCCTTTTCCTCTGAGTGAGTCCCGCTGACACGGCAGACGGTGCCAGGGATAGCATGTTCGCTGATTCTGATAGGGCCGTGCCCTAGCTTTGTTTAGCAAGTGGTCATGTCGCGATGGACCAGGGTGTTGAAACATGACCCTACGGGGGGCAGACGGCGTAGCGACGCCACGTCTGTTACTGTACATGACGTGAGTTTCCTCCTAAACCATAGTGGTTGTCGTATGCTTCCGTTAGGATTCGTGCCCGAGGGCAAATGCCGACGCCCATAATATTGTAAGACAAATGTCGGCGCCCACAACACTGTTCGGGCTCTGACATGCCTGGAAGGGCTTAAAGCGCCTGTCTTGTCATATCCTGACGGTACTTTCCTGTAGGGGTGCAGGGTATGGTCCTCGGTATTGCGGTTGACTTGAGTGCCCCGTCTTGTCTGCGCGCGCAGTTATGAAGGAGCAGCGCACAGATGTCGGGCGAGGCAGAGCTAGCCCCCGGACGTTGGACGAGGCGGAGTCTGCCCTCGGACGTCGGGCGAGGCAGAGCTACCTCGGGGGTCGAGCGAGGCGGAGTCTACCCCCGGACGTCGGGCGAGGCGGAGCAAGCCCGCGGACGTCGGGCGAGGCGGAGTCTGCCCTCAGACATCGGGTGAGGCAGAGCCAGCCCTCGGGGGTTGGGCGAGGCGGAGCCAGTCCTCAAGGGTCGAGCGAGGCGGAGCCAGCCCTCAGATGTCGGGTGAGGCAGAGTCTGCCCCCGAACATCGGGCGAGGCAGAGTCTACCCTTAGACGTCGGGCGAGGCGGAGCCAGCCCTCAGGGGTCGGCCGAGGCAGAGCTAGTCCTCAGGGGTCGGGCAAAGCGGAGCTAGCCCACAGGGCGAGGCGGAGCCAACCTTCGGGGGGTCGGATGAGACAGAGTTAACCCTCGGTCGTTGGACAAGAGGTGTAGTTGTGTTCTTGTCTGTTCGGAAGCATCAACATTTGATGGTTATTAGCTCTTCCTCTTTGGGTACCCTGGTATTTGGTCCCCAACAGTAGCCCCCGAGCCCTCGGGCGATTTGGATAGAATCGCCCAGGGGTGATTTTACTCGCTAGAGGGTGCGCGCGAGAGCACCCAACGGGTGTAGCCCCCGAGCCCCTGGGTGATTTGGATAGAATCACCCAGGGGGTGATTTGACTTGTCAGAGGGTGCGCACAAGCGCACCCGGTGGGTGTAGCCCCCGAGCCCTCGGGTGATTCGGATAGAATCGCCTGGGGGGTGATTCAGACCCTTCGCTGGTATGGCTATGAGATTTGGTGGTTTGTCATCTAGATAATCTGATTGGGGTCCCAGCATCCCGTTCGCGGGGATCCATCTAGGGTTAGCCTGGCTGAGACTCAATCATGGGCCGAGATACCCATGGCGCTCGTGTGCCTGGGTGCTGGCCGTTTACGGAGCCCAGATCTTTCCACCATTGTCGTAGGGGTGTTTGGAGCAGCTCCTAGGCCCAGACAGGATGTAGAGGCATTTTTGATTCATTTTCCTTATACTCATAACGAGTCCCGGTCCGCCCGAGGAGGCGAAATGTCAGGCGGGTTTTTCGAAGGAAAGGATAGGGATTACGTACGCAAATCTCACGATGTGTCATTGTGATGGATCATGGCAGGCGTGGAGATCCAGGCGGGCGGTTGCCTTCCTCGCATCCGTCGCCCCTATAAAACCAAATGGTTCGCCTCTAGGGTTTCGTACTTTGCCTCCTTGCCTTTGCATCTACAACCTCTGCCGCCAATCGCCTAAGCCTCCCGCATCTGCGTTTCAGCCGTCGTCTAATTCGCATCCACCACTCCAATCCTCCAATGGAGCCATGGAGCCGCTCTGATATCACCCTCCAACGCCTAGAGGGCCTCATTCGCCGTGGTCTCCTTTACGCGCAGACCGCCGCCGAGGAGTGGCTGCTGCCTGGCGATGAGGACGCTCCATCGCCGCCCGATGGCGACGTTGTGTCGTTCGCTCACTTCCATGAGTGGGGATTCACCACCCCCGCCCACAAGTTTCTTCGGGGATTGCTACACTTCTACAAGGTAGAGCTGCAACATCTTAATCCCAATGGAATCCAACACATGCGACGTTCGTCGCCCTGTGTGAGGGGTTCCTGGGGATTAGTCCCCGCTTTGACCTATGGTGGTACTTCTTCACCGTCACCCTCCTAAAGAAGCGGGAGAAGAAGCAGGAATGGAATGTGCCGGCATTTAGCTTCTCAACAACCGTGTCAACGAGTATCCGCCAATGCGTCTATCGACCTCCAACAAGGGGTGGCATTCGCATTGGTTCTACGTCAAGAACGACGCAGCCGCCCCCTTGCTAGAGTTCACCGAGCACCTCATCAAAGAGGTCCTGGAGTCGTGGAGGAGGTGGGGAGTCCCGGACAAAGACAAGAAGAAAATCTAGGACCATCTCACCGTCGTCCGAATTCTGAAGGAGAAGGGCGTGAAGGGGTCGGGGATCATCGGGGCCTACCACACGTGGAGGGTGGCGCCACTATTGAGGTGCGCGCTTCCCCTGCACATGATGGCGCCTAGGGCATAACTCGATGGGACGTCGCTTGCTGAGGGAGCGCTCTCTCCGTCTAAAGTGGCGCAGCGCATCAAGGAGGTGATGGAGCCTCCGCAGGACGACGCCGGTGCTGTCCTTGATTTCATATATCCGGTGCTGGGGCATCCTCCAATGTGGCCGGAATCGGGGTACATTGTCTTCATAAATTTTCTTTCCTCGTGCCTCCTTTTTAATTGAACTCCTGACCTCTTGACGCTGATATTGAGATAGGGGGACCAGCCAAACAAACTCATCCTTATGGATCTTCCGGCTCTGCTGTCGAAGGACCCAGCCGTGACAGTGGCCAACTGCACCACGACTGAGCGGTAGCGGAAGGCGAAGGAGGACGAGAGGAGGAAGAAGAAGCAGAAGATACGTGCGCGAGAGCGTGGGGAGGAGACAGATTGTGATGATGACGATGACGATGATGAGGAGGATGATGAGGTAGT